CCTATCAAGAGTAATTACCCACAGACTATTTATTCCCCAACGTGAGTGGAGGGACTGAAGTAGTAGGTGGATTGAGAGGCTGTAAGAAGGTAGGTAAGTAAGTGTATTGTCATGCTGTTACTTAACTAGGGAATACCCAAGTACTTTTCTTGGGCAATGCTATGGTATTTTTTTTGCAGCTTTTTTTTTTAACTGTTGATGAAGAAAATATGAATTGTTTGTCTGTACTAAGCCTTTTGTGGAAGTCTGCTGGAGTATGAATGGTTACCATAACAACTAGGCTCTTACAACAAGATCAAGTAATATAAAAAAAAAACCAACAAACAAAAAACTACACAAAAATACCTAACTCCAAACAAAAAAAAGCCCACCAGGATTTATTTTCCTTATCAATTTTGTGCTAACTTTCTTAGGTAAGTACAAAAGTCTATTTTTTTTTTTTTTAAGCTCTGTAAATGTTAATTGTGGTGTGAAATGCTTCTTGTCTGCATCGATAATGGCCTGGTTTCTAATCATCATTTGAAATTATATGTTGGGTTAAATGCCAAAAGAAAATTGTGCTTTTCTGATTAAAAACTATATCAGTATAAGGGACCTATGTTCCTTGCTGCTGCCTTAAACTCTTAATTCTCAAATCTTAGTCCTGAAAGATCTAGAACTACTTAAGGATTCAAACATCTAAGTTCCATAGATGTATTCTGGGCTATGCCTAAAAGTGGTTTGGGCTCGAGATATCTCCCCAGGAATGGCTGTTTCCCACAGAATATAAGGCAGGGTTTTCACACCAGACATGCTTTAATCTTAGGGCTCTAGTTAGCATAAAGAGTGCATATTGTGGATTGGGTTATATATAAAGTAAGATAATAAGGTAGGTCTTATACTATACGTGATTGGGTCAGTTATTACAGCAGAAATACGGAAGAACAGACTTCAAGTCTATCTTGCCTCAGAAAGCCACCTCCCCTAGTTCTGTATGTCTCGGCCTTTAGAAATAGCATGTGCTATCAGAGGGAGCATATTTAGTCACCTCTGCTAAAGCTTTAATAATTAATGTAGAACTACCAAATAAATATTCTCTCTGGTTGAAATCTTCTGTGGCCTCATAGTTGGCGATGTCACCTGTGAGTCAGAAGAAATGCATTTATTCCATTTTCATGGAGATCTAGGATTTCAGATATGGGAAGGAGGGGACAGTCACTGGAGAAGGCATTTAAAATAGGTTTTAATTTATTACTCTGCTACAAAGAAAGCTTTTCATATTTCTGCTTGCTGGCTATTTTTGTCCTCAGTTTTACATGCTGTCAGTGGATCAACATGGTCTGCTTGACTTAATTTATTTTTTTTCCATTCACAGACAGATTGTTCAAGTAGCACAGAACATCTCTGTTTTGACACTGGTGCCTGAATCTTGTATTCAGCTACATCAATCATACACTATTATCCAGTTATGTATTGTTTAATGAGATTGTAATTTCACTACATCCATGTAACCATGGTGCTGCATCCTTTGTCTTCTTTAAAAGAAGAAATTGATAATAGTTAAAAATCTGTTTTGTGAAATAAATATAACTACATAAAATGTTAAAGTTTCCTTCTCAGTTTGAACAAGTATTTGCTATTTTTGCAGGCATTTTTAAGTACAGAGTGATACATTTACTTCACCAGTACTGACTGAGAGTTTCATTTTTATGATAAATTCTTGATGCTTCCCTTACAAGCATTTTCAGAGATTAATCCTCTTATTTAGAGGGCTGATCTAAATCAAAGTGAGAGCAACAGAAGCTGAAGATTTTACAATCGCCTTCCATTATTCCTTTCTTGTAAGTCTTTAAAATATTTTTGTTTTTTAGCAAACCCATCTCAGTAGCAGTTGGCTGTAGGAGTTGGGTCAAAATATTCTGTTAATAATTTATATGCTGGTGATGGTTATCTTTTATTCCTTCTCTAGTGAATTGAAACTTCACTCATTTTTTTTCCCTTTGAGACTTATTTTAGGCTGTGATAATGCAGTATGTGATCTTGGCAAGTACAAGCAAGTCATACCGATATGTCATCTTTTTTTCTCTCTTTTTCTGGGGGCTGGGGGGAAGGCTGGCTGACACCTTTGTAAAATGCTTTTCATGCATTGGTAGAATTTGAATTAGACATTTGCTTGTAGAAGACTGAGTGTAAGCTAGGTTGACATTAGACATAAAGGCTTGTTTTATTAGTTTATAGAAATACTTCCAAAACCAGAATAATGAATGAAATGGTTGCTGTTTTATACTACCACTCTGTATGTGACTTAGATCAGAATAGTATTCTCTAGAAAATTCATATAAATTCTAGAGTTCACTGCGCTGGTTGACAAAACCACATGATATTACATTTATGTGTTAAATTTGCATGTGAATCTTAAGGACTAGCGAAAACTGTTTGGTGAACATGGGTAGATTGATTTAGTTAGACTATCTGAAAATTTGCTGATACCACTGACAATTATTTTCTCAGTGACAGCATCCACATCTTTAATATGTGAACAAAGGTTTTCAGTGCTCTCACTGAACACTGACTAAGATCTAAACCAGAAATATCTTTATTTAGGATTGAATGAGTACACTTGAATGAGTGGCAGGTACTATCTCAGCAGCAGGTTGTTGGAGACGGTGTTTTAGAGGATTCTGGTTGTAAGTATTTGGATAAGAACCAAGATCTGCATAAGCAGAAGGAGTGTTTGACTGAACTTACTAATTCTGAACATTTTAGTTCAAGAATTTTTTTTTCTTTATTCAGTACAGTAATAATTTTGCTGTATCTCCTGTTTGATTCTCCTGAAAATTGCCTTGTTTAATGTCTAATTGTTGGTTAAGCTTCTTTTACCATGAAAACCAGTAGCAGTGCTTGGGTAACCTGTGAGATTCTAGTGGGAAATGGCATGCCCATGCCATATGCTCCTGTAAGTACAGTAAGCACCTCATTCTCCAACTTACTTTCCATGAACTGGCTGCATAATTCAACAGTAGAAAAAACATGTCTCATCTCTTAGTTTTCTTTGGAGTCCTCTCCTGAGGACCTGTCAGGAAAAGAAAGTGGCCATAATGACAGTGTCTCTACTAGCTGCCTACAGGAAAAACTCATTACTGTGTTTTCATTTGATAATCAAAACCACAGTGTGCTTCTACAAAATGTACCTCAGCTCTGCATGGCATCACTGTGTAGGAGAATTCATCAGAATCTGGATTTTTCCAGTAATCATCAAGCAAGCCAAGCACGAAAGTTCTGCTACTTCTCTATAGCATGAACCCACCTCCAATAGGATGAATTAACAGTTGCTTCCCACTCTTGCTTATTTCAAATAAACTTCCACATCATTTCCCTCCTTTGGACCTCACACTTACCCAATCACAACCATACTAGAGATGTCCCAGTACAGTAACTTACAATTCTCTTAATGTGCTTAGCCAGAAGGGCATGCACTTGGTAAAGGAATGGCCATGAATTCATGCAAATTAACTAACTTCTGGTTTAATTTTTGTGCTGATGATCATAAATGTATTTTTAGATGTATGGAGTCTGCAGTTCTGCCATCAAAATATGTCTCTGTATATATGTAATTTTTTTTAATCTTGCCAAGATCTAAGTAGGGAAAAAGTTCTCTTACTTATTTCAAGCAAGAAGATGCTATTTGTAACCTTCTTATCAGTGAAAGGAGATCTACAGTGAGTCAAGTCATAACTTTATAGATGTTCTTAGAAAGTAAACAAGAGTGCATCAAATCCCCATTTTGTGGACTAATTGGGAACAAAAAGGCTATTTATTGCTTGCAGCTTCCCAGACTGCCTTTCCAGCCAGGAGTAATATTCTTTTCTAGTTTAGGATGCCTGTTCTGTTTTGTTTCTTACTCCATTACACACTAGATATCAACAATGTCAGAAGTCAAAAGCTATAAAGATAAAAAAATACTTAAAGACATGTAAAGTTACAGAGAGAAAAGTAGAAGAGAACTAAAACCATTTGAGAACTTGTAGTGCAATTAATTACATTTAAAATGTAAATATAGTTAAACTCTTGTATGTCTAACAAGAATCACAGAATGGTTGAGGTTGGAAGGGACCTCTGGAGGTCATTTTTCCAAACCTCTTGTTCAAGTAGGGCCACCTAGAGCTGGCTACTCAGGACTGTGTCTACATAGTTTTTTAATATTTCAATGGAGGGAGACTCCACAACCTACATACAAAAATGTATGAGCAAAAATACATTCTTTGTAACATAGTTAGATTTGTAAACATGAAATGGACTATGCAATTGTTCACATATCTCCTTTCTTTGTTCTCTGCATAGTGAGTTTTTGTACATTCTTTTCCTATTGGCCAAAATGCAATAAGAGAGCTCTAATACAGAGTAAGAAACTTATTTCAAATAAAAATCATAATTAGAAAATAAATTTACCAACCAAATCTAATAAAATGTATAATAACATGAAAAAACCTATGTCCCATCTGAAGTTTAGAAGAGAAGATACTTTAAAAGCTATCCACACCATTTACTAGCAGAGGTAGTCCTCTGCTTTCTATGCTGTTTAGGCACCTGAATTAAGATTATTTTTCCCCTGTGTGCCTATGTACGTGTAACAAATAAAGTCTTCCCCATGGATGAACCTCCAGCAGCCTTTTTAAACCTGATTCTCCAGCAGGAAACCAACAAATAATTCCAAAACTCAAAATGAAAATATCGGTTATTCACAGTACAGTTCTGCCTTAGGGGAATATTTTGCTTATCACACTTGAAAAGATAGAGAAGCTTAGCCAATAAGATGATCAAGTTCTGTGGTGTAAAACTAGTATTTGTTTAATACTAGCTCTTACAGATAGAAGATCTTACAGTCCGTCTTACTTCTACAAACTTCATCTAGTCTCCCAAATCTTGTTTGTCTGGGTGGATTGGGACACTGAAAAAGTGTCCTTTCCCAGACACAAAAGCCATAGAACCATCTTAACTGTATTACAAAGGCCAAAATGTATTCTTTCTATTCTAAAAGCTTTATGTATAAAGGTATTGTAATTTTAGTTCTTTACAGGCCTAGGGCAAATGGAGGTAAATTCAAACAGAGGAATGTTGAGGCCAGTTACTGCTCTTAGCCGTGAACTCCACTAGTCTAATCAAGGTCTGACAATATACAATGCTTCCATCACTTTGGATCAGCTACATGGACGTATATAAAAAGATTAATATCTTAGTTCCTCCATGTTATTGTCTTCTATCATGGCCTATGAATTTAAGTGCATATGACAATGAAGAGATCTTTAAATCAGACTGAAGACAAGGACTATATTTCTGAGGTTCCATGTTCAGGAGAAGGAAGTATGTTCTCACCATTAGTTTCCTTTCCAAGTTGTGTTTTTAGTAGAGGTCAAATTTGAAATTTATTTAGAAATACTTAATAAAATTGAACACTTCAAAAAGCTAGGTACTTCTGCAGCTTTTTCCTCCAGCATCTTAGAGGCTCTTTGCTTTCCTAGACATAAGGTCATGACTTGTCAATAAGCACTGCAATGTCGGATCCATGCAAATTAGTCAACTTGTTCATGATACAGAAATAAAATCACATCACTAATTATTTGATCCTACAAAATAAGAACACTGGTTTTAAGTTTAAATAATACTTCCTGAATTTGTTTGGGTTATTATGTAAAACTGACTCCCGTAGGGGGCAAAATTTTAGCTCAGAGAAAATTAATTATAACTTTGCTGTTGCCTTCAATGGAATTGGACTCTACTCAAAGTATCACAAATCATAAATCATGTTTAACATAAATTAATCCAGCTGCTTACTTGATCTCTGGTTTTTGATGAAGAAGAGCTTTAGTCTCTCTTTAAATGTATTTTCATTCATATAGAATTCAACTTGCACCCTGAAATATAAAAGGAAGTATTAGAATTGAATATGAAAGATAATAAATAATTTCTTCAAAATAGTTTGTTTCCCTAATAATCTGGTTGTTTATATATAACTGGAGGAATATATAGAGTGTGTTCAGCCAAAAGCTCACTTGAATTTGAGTAACTGATGTCAAGATTAAAAAACAAAATTTAAAAAAACCCAGCAAATAAAAAAACCCCCTTATTTTAGTTTACCCCCTTTACATGCAGAATCATTTCATACTACTTGGACATACTACACTGCAAAATCAGAAGCATCCACACTCTTGGTATTTTCATTGGAAGACCATTCTCATATCTGCATCTTTGTAAGGAAGATTTCCTTGAAGTTCAGGTTAAACCTTCCATCTTAGTTTAACTCCCTTCCTGCAAAACTGACATTTTAAGGATTCTTCTTTTTACTACCTTGTTTGTAACTCTGTTAAGCATTCATGTCTCAGCTAAGCATTTACTTTTTTGTCTTCATCTTTAATCAAATGCTCATGCACCAAACCACCCTCTCCGAACTCTGCTTTTGTCACAATGAAATACTGAGACCTGAAAACAAAATTCTATTGCAATCATACCGTACTGTAGAGAAAATAACTCCCTTCCTGATTATGTTAAAGCAACAGTAACATCTTTTTTTCCCTCCCTTCCCTTCAAATTTGTCAGGATGCATTTCATGTTTCTGTCCCTCAATTCAGTCTGAGTACAAATCATGCAATAGTTCTATAGACTAGAAGAGAGAAGAAAACTGTTGCAGGAGCTGGCAAGGAGAAAAGGTGATGTGCATGAGTTGTACAGAAAAACTTAGGCCACTCCAGAGCTGTGGAGCTGCACTGCTTGCTGTAGGACGTGTGCAGCATTAACTCCTGCTCTACCCAACTGAATGGATCTCCCTCACCAATTCCAGTTCTACTCCAGCACAATTTCTGTGCCTTCTTGAGAAGTCAGTCCTAAGTTTGAGAACTATTCTCCCATTGCTAAAAAATACTGATATCACAAAAATGAGTTAATTCCTTACTTCTCCCTTTCTCTGTATACCATGTGCTACAAAATTGCATATACTTTTTCTGTTCACAAGCATACTTGATCTTTATCTGAGCATTTATTTTCAGCAGTCTCTCTTTCATCAAATGGCTGCTGTACTTCAATTATTTGTTCTGTCCTCTTTTTTAAGCAGGATCCTGACTTTAGTTTTTCCCTTCTTGCACATGAAGCCTTTGCTGAAACAATTTTTGTATAATCTAATGTTATCTATAGTCTCTCTCTTCCCCTCAAATACTTATCTAATATCATATATTTCTGTATACTTATGGAATTGGAAGATTATTTAGTTAAGGACCCAGAATGGATGGCATCTCTGATAATGTGACCTTTTGATGCTTGCTTACTTATTACCAGAAGTTTAGGTATATCACTTTGTAGGACAGGGTCAGCACATCATAAAAAGAAGGCTCTCTGACTCACTTAGTGAGGTCAGTTAATTTTAGATAGTCACTTAGCTTTGCTGTGGTTTATTGTAGTGTTCCTTGTAGAAGGGAGAATTATGTTACTTCTTAGTCAGAGGAAGCAAAAACATAACCTTATGTTTACAAATCTATATTGCAATTAAGGTCTATAACTTAGAAAATTTTGAATTTATTTCTAGGCAATGATACATTTGACACAGTGGTAAGAGCAGCCCCTACCCTAGACCAGCTTTTCTGCCCTTTACGGCCCTACCCCTTCTGTGACAAGATCTTTAAGCAGTTGGAATTAAAGAGGAAGAACCCACTGGTCCTCTGCTTTTTAAACTACGAGTAGCTGCAACTGCGTATTTCAAAAAGTTCAGGCCCAGAGGAATGTCCTAGAAACTGCCACCAAACTGGAGGAAAAGACCATCAGATGAACAGTAACTTGTTTCTGGGCTTTTATTGAGCTTAAATATGGACTAAGTGTTGTGCTGTTCAAGACTGCAGGAGTTGTTTCCATTAACAGAAGTACAATTTAGACAGTTGGTAACCTTAAGGCAAGTTAAGGAAGCACGTCCAGGGGTTAATTAGTAGGTGAGCAAGTTTGTAGGGGACTGAGCTCTGCTTCAGTTCCCTCCTGCACATTTCCCAAGGTACTTACTGTCATTAATGCACTAACAGTTTTAGTGGGAAACACTTCCCATGATTTGGCAGCTGCCACGTGCTAAGTGTATATACTTAATCTTCAAGGACATATTTCAGTAGGTAAACAAAGTGGCACAAGCTATTGAAGTAACGGATGTTATTTAAAAGTAGCACGGTAACTGTGATCTTTTTTACACATGTAAAACTAATCTTTCAGATTTCTCCGTCAGAAAATTACAGTAGTCACTTATCACGAAAGAACAACATGTTAACAGTAAGCCATGATTTAATGATAATGAGGAAAGAGGATGTGGGAGCTAATCACCCTCTTATCACTACCATTATGAATTGCTCTGATAGTCCTCTAACAGCTGTCTACTTCTCTTTCCTTAGCAACCTGTGCTCACAGCAGACTGGGATTCCATAGTGCAGCAGTTTCCATGGCAAAATGGATTATGAATGCTGCTAACACCACTTCTGTGGCTCAACTCCTCCTTCCTGACTTCTTTAAACTTAAGTAAAAACTGTATTGGCCTTCTACATTTGCAGGAAATACAGTATCATGCATCTATAATCAATGTACACTTTCATGATATTCTGGCTACCAGACAGAGAATATTTCACTCTGTTTCTTAAAGGTTACTATTTACTAAGTAAAGCTAAAAACGAATGGCTGAAGGAGCCACTGGCAGGGACAAGGACAGAAACTTCCAGATACTGTTCCTTCCCAATACTCTGCTTTTTATTTTTAGGGAGAACACTCATTTTACTTGAACCTCTGTTGTAATCTTTTAATGATTAAAATTTTACCTCAAGTATTTGCTCTTTTCTGTCCTTTTCCCACTATCAAATGTAACCTAGGAGTATTTGGGGAATGTAACACAAATTCTGATCCTCGCTTGCAATATTAAGATCATTTAGTAGTAGTAGTAGTGAAGGGCTTGAACAAGCTCTTTCTGGACTTAATTAAGTACAAGTTAGTAAAGATGTCTCAAGTGAGTGAGTGAAATTCACTGCCACATACTTACAGTATGTGCTAAAGTGATCTGCTATTGTCAAGAGCTTATTTTACTGAAAAAAAAAAAAAAACAGGAAATGGGTAGGTATTCTTTTTCTTATAACTTTTATTAAAAGATAAGTGTATTGTAATGAAGACTGTCTTGGGTAGCAGTTCTCTTTTCAGAAGTTTTGCAAGTTCTGAAATACTCAGAACTCTGATTTGCACAGAACTTCACAGAGAAATGGTCATTTGACTTTCCAGGCCTGCTTGTGCCATCAGAATCAATATGACAGATCAAGACTGTTTGCTGAATGATACCTCATCATCTTGTGCTGAAGGAAATGGCAGTAAGACCAGTACTTTTCCCTGACTGGTTCTTAATTTTGACAAGCCTTCTATTTGTTTCTGGTAGGAAATCGGTCATCAGTTGCGTAGGTCTTGATGAATATTGAACAGCTAAACTTGTGAGTTTTTCATTTCCTCTCCGAGCTGAATGACAGAACCCCAAAGCAAATGGGGGGGCGGCAGGGTGCTTGTTTCTTCCTACTTATTGTAAAGACAGAAAAGATGCTATTTCTTTTGCAGCCTCCTAATTTGGTAGTCCATTTTTGCAGTGTGAGCATGACATGAGAGTTGTGGAGAACAGGGCTTCAGCACTTTTCTGGGTACTTCAGGACACAGTTTTTAAAAGCTACGTCCTTACGGAAGCTGTTTGCCATGCACTATGCTGACGAAATCTAACGTTTGCGGTATGGCCCTGCTTTTTCCTAAAGATGCCTTCTAACAGGTGTATAATAATTAAAACTGACAGGTATAAGGTCTTTTTCTGATAGGGGATTTTATCTGTTTATTATGAATAAACCAATGAATATTTTCAAGATCTCTGCAGAACTGTGTTCGTGTAATACTGTCTCGTAGATTCTTTAAAATATCTAACATTGTGAATGTACACGATAGAACACAGGTTCCACACCTTCTAATAACTGCCTTGTAGTATGCAGCATTACCTATTATCTCTTTATTTTTCCAAACTAAATTCTTGCAGTACTTCTCTAGAACAACTACGCAGTATAATTGTCTGGTTCAAATTGAACTGTCATGTAATAAAGACTTGTTTGGTCATCTTAATACTTGGTGCGTATGCTATGACATCTGTACCTGGGCATTTCTTTTGTTCTTTTCCTTCTATGGGTGTATTTATTTAGAATGTACTTTCTAAATCAGTGAATCTGAGCTAATCTATCTAGTGAAGTTTTTCCAGACATACCTTCATTTGCTTGATTATGTAATTGGTTATTGCTATAACGAATGGATTTATAAAGATCAGGTGTTGCCAGTGTCACTGTAAAAATTCTCTGTATTAATGAAGATAGAAATAGCCTGAACTGAGTTCAGCTTAATCACAAATTACAGAATAAGAGATCAACAAAGCATAAATAACCTTGTAGTTTAGAACTGCATGTGTGCTCAAACCTTTTTTACTGTATCTTTCCAATAAGTGCTGCTTGTTTTGACTGAAATAAATTCAAGACAGCATCAGAAAATAGGCCAAACTGAATTTTTCAGGTTGCACAAAATTTACACCTGTGACCACAAGAAAATCTTTCCTGTGTAAAAGTAAACTTTTACTGGGGGAAAAGGAACTCGGAGCAATCTCCCTCTCCATTTTAGTGGCCCTGCAAATAACACACACTTGACTTTTTACTGCAAATATCCTTTCATGTTGCAAATCTATTGCCTAAGGTTAGAAAGTTAAAAACAATTGTGAATGATGTATTAAGAAATAGTGCACTTCTAAGCTAATTTGGCAAGAAAAATCACACAGGGAAGATACTCAACAAATTTGGTAAAACTTCTTTTTTCCTCTTTCCC